CTTTTCTAAGTCCTACTAGATACTGACATAGGTAAAATTCGATGATAATGATCTGATCCCAGAACCTGATTTTGTTTTACATGTAACTCTAAAAATGGAACAACAGACTGGTTTCAAATAGGAAAAGGAGTACATCAAGGCTGTATATTGTCACCCTGCTTATTTAACTTATATGCAGAGTACATCATGAGAAATGCTGGGCTGGAAGATGCACAAACTGGAATTAAGATTGCCGGGAGAAATATCAATAACCTCAGATATGCAGATGACACCACCCTTATGGCAGAAAGTGAAGAAGAATTAAAGAGCCTCTTGATGAAAGTGAAAGAGGAGAGTGAAAAAGTTCGCTTAAAGCTCAACATTCAGAAAACTAAGATCATGGCATCTGGTCCTATCACTTCATGGCAAAGAGATGGGGAAACAGTGGAAACAGTGTCAGACTTTATTTCTGGGGGCCTCCAAAATCACTGCAGATGGTGACTGCAGCCATGAAATTAAAAGAAGCTTACTCCTTGGAAGGAAAGTTATGACCAACCTAGATAGCATATTAAAAAGCAGAGACATTACTTTGCCAACAAAGGTCTGTCTAGTCAAAGCTATGGTTTTTCCAGTGGTCATGTATGGATGTGAGAGTTGGACTGTGAAGAAAGCTGAGTGCCGAAAAATTGATGCTTTTGAACTGTGGTGTTGGAGAAGACTCTTGAGAGCCCCTTGGACTGCAAGGAGATCCAACCAGTCCATCCTGAAGGAGATCAGTCCTGGGTGCTCATTGGAAGGACTGATGCTGAAGCTGAAACTCCAATACTTTGGCCACCTCATGAGAAGAGTTGACTCAATGGAAAAGACCCTGATGCTGGGAAAGATTGAAGGAGAGAGGAGAAGGGGATGACAGGATGAGATAGCTGGATGGCATCACCGACTCAATGCACATGAATTTGAGTAAACTCCAGGAGTTGGTGATGGACAGGGAGGCCTGGCGTGCTTCAGTCCATGGGGTCACAAAGAATCAGACACGACTGAGCAACTGAACTGAACTGAACTGATAAAAATGGAAAAAAGCAAAAAAAAAAAAAAAAAAAATGAAAAAAGCAGAAACAGTAACAGATTTTATTTTCTTGGGCTCCAAATCACTGCAGACAGTAACTGCAGCCAAGAAATTAAAAGATGCTTGCTCTCTGGAAGGAAAGCTATGACAAACCTAGACAGCATATTAAAAAGTAGAGACATCACTTTGCCAACAAATGGTCATATAGTCAAAGCTATGGTTTTTCCAGTAGTCATGTACAGATGTAAGAAGTGGACCATAAAGAATGCTAAGTGCCGAAGAATTGATGCTTTCGAATTGTGGTGCTATAGAAGACTACCAAGGGTTCCTTGGATTACAAGGAGATCAAACCAGTCAGTCCTAAAGGAAATCAACCCTGAATACTCACTGGAAGGACTGATGCTGAAGCTGAAGCTCCAATACTATAGCCATCTGATGTGAAGACCCAACTCACAGGAAAAGACCCTGATACTGGGAAAGATTGAGGGCAGGAGGAAAAGGGGGTGACAGAGGATGAGATGGTTGGATGGCATCATCCACTCAATGGACATGAGTTTGAGCAAACTCTGGGAGATAGTGAAGGACAGGGAAGCCTGGTGTTGCAGTCTATGGGGTCACAAAGAGTCATTCACAACTTAGCAACTAAACAACAACATAATGCTGAATTTTCCAGTGAAGCAGCTATAATCAGGGGAAGACTGTGCCTTGTTTTGTTTAGAACTTTAGTAAGAGATGACACAACTTTGGAGATCAGGTTGCGATGAAAAATCCCTTTTGGAATTTGAATCCCCAATTTCCATCCTGTGTCAGTCTGCATTTGTAACTGTTACATTCACCATGACGCCACATCTATGAGTAAGCTTCTGAAGACTTGCTCGTGTCTTCTAGTGGGCTCCATCCTAAACATTTACATTCTGAAACCTATGCTATTTAAATGTAAATAACTTGCCTTTTCCTTTACTTTACAGTTCCTTTCAGTTCAGTTCAGTTGCTCAGTCATGTCTGACTCTTTGCTATCCCAAGGACTGCAGCATGCCAGGCTTCCCTGTCCATCACCAACTCCCAGAGCTTGCTCAAACTCATGTCCATCAAGTCGGTGATGCCATCCAACCATCTCATCCTCTGTCGTCCCCTTCTCCTCCTGCCTTCAATCTTTCCCAGCACCAGGGTCTTTTCCAATGACTCAGTTCTTTGCATCAGGTGACCAAAGTATTGGAGTTTCAGCTTCAGCATCAGTCCTTCCAATGAATATTCAGGTCTGATTTCCTTTAGAATTGACTGATTGGATCTCTGCAATCCAAGGGACTCTCAAGAGTCTTCTCCAACACCACAGTTCCAAAGCATCAATTCTTCGGTGCTCAGCTTTCTTTATAGCCCAACTCTGGGCTTCCCTGGTGGCTTAGAGGGTAAAGAGTCTGCCGCAATGAGGAAGACCCAGGTTTGGTATCTGGGTCAGGAAGATCCCCTGGAGAAGGAAATGGCAACCCACTCCAGTACTCTTGCCTGGAAAATCCCATGGACAGAGGAGCCTGGTAGACTACAGTCCATGGAGTCGCAAAGAGTCTGACACGACTGAGAGACTTCTCTCTCTTCTCTCACATCCATACATGACCACTGGAAAAACCATAGCCTTGACTACATGGACCTTTGCTGGCAAAGTAACGTCTCTACTTTTTAATATGCTATCTAGGTTGGTCATAACTTTCCTTCCAAGGAACAAGCGTCTTAATTTCATGGCTGTAGTCACCATCTGCAGTGATTTTGGAGCCCCCCAAAATAAAGTCTGTCACTGTTTCCACTGTTTCCCCATCTATTTGCCATGAACTGATGGGACTGGATGCCATGATCTTAGCTTTCTGAATGTTGAACTTTAAGCCAACGTTTTCACTCTCATCTTACACTTTCATCAAGAGGCTCTTTAGTTCTTCTTCACTTTCTGCCATAAGGGTGGTGTCATCCGCATATCTGAGGTTATTAATATTCCTCCCGGCAATCTTGATTCCAGCTTGTGCTTCATCCAACCCAGCATTTTGCATGATGTACTCTGCATATAAGTTAAATAAGCAGGATGACAATATACAGCATTGACGTGCTCCTTTCCTGATATGGAATCAGTCTGTTGTTCCATGTCCAGTTCTAACTGTTGCTTCTTGATCTGCATACAGATTTCTCAGGAGGCAGGTAAGGTGGTCTGGTATTCCTATATCTTTAAGAATTTTCCACATTGTGTTGTGATTCACAGTCAAAGGCTTTGGCATAGTCAATAAAGCGGAAGTAGATGTTTTTCTGGAACTCTCTTGCATTTTTGATGATCCAACAGGTGCTGGCAATTTGATCTCTGGTTCCTCTGCCTTTTCTAAATCCAGCCTGAATAACTGGAAGTTCACCGTTCACGTACTGTTGAAGCCTGGCTTGGAGAATTTTGAGCATTACTAGCATGTAAGATGAGTGCAATTGTGCAGTAGTTTTAGCATTCTTTGCCATTGCCTTTCTTAGGGATTGGAATGAAAACTGACTTTTTCCAGTCCTGTGGCCACTGCTGAGTTTTCCAAAGTTGCTGGCACTTTCACAGCATCATCTTTTAGGATTTGAAATAGCTCAACTGGAATTCCATCACCTCCACTAGCTTTATGCTTAGTGATGCTTCCTAAGGCCCACTTGACTTCACATTCCAGGATGTCTGGCTCTAGGTGAGTGATCACACCATCGTGGTTATATGGGTCGTGAAGATCTTTTTTGTATAGTTCTTCTGTGTATTCTTGCCACCTCTTCTTAATATCTTCTGCTTCAGTTAGGTCCATACCAGTTCTGCCCCTTATTGCGCCCATCTTTTCATGAAATATTCCCTTGGTATCTCTAATTTTCTTGAAGAGATCTCTAGTCTTTCCCATTCTATTGTTTTCCTCTATTTCTTTGCATTGATCACTGAGTAAGTCTTTCTTATCTCTCCTTGCTATTCTTTGGAACTCTGTATTCAAGTGGGTATATCTTTCCTTTTCTCCTTTGCCTTTAGCTTCTCTTCTTTTCTCACCTATTTGTAAGGCCTCCTCAGACAGCCATTTTGCCTTTTTGCATTTCTTTTTCATTTCTTTTTGTATTTCTTCTTTACAGTTAGGGCATTATATTAACTTTTAAATTATATACATAGGTAGATTATATTATCTGTGAAGTTTATTTCAGGATACTAAAGGAATATTACAAAATATGTGTCATTAAAAGGAGTGCTGAGTCTCATAAGGTTGAATAACAATGGGCTTTACACGGTTCTTCTCATTTAATTCTCACAACAATCATACAAGTAAGTATTAGTGTCCTCATTTTAAAAATGAGGAAACAAACTTAGAGAGATGAATGACTTTCCCAAGAGAGTAGATGAGAGAACCAAGATCTGAATCCATGTCTGCCTAAGCCAAGGCCTCACAACTCCCCTGGAAGGCATGACAGTGATGTGGTAGAGATTATCCCAAGTTCACCAAACTCTGTTTTCTTTTCCTAGCTGGACTACATTTCCCATCTTTCCTTGGGGTTAAGGGTGGGCATGTGGCTGAGTTAAGGACACTGGAATATGAGTGGGAGTGATGTGTTTCACTTCAAGTCTGGGCCCTGAAAAAGAACTGCCCACAAGATCATCCATACTCTTGCTCTCCTTCTTCTCTCTGCTGGATGCAAAAGGACCCAACAGAGGACTTCAGGACCTTACAAGATGTCCTAGTCACAAGGTGATGGAGCCTAGACCCCAGAATGATCATGTGAAAAAGATTACCCCCGCCCCCCAGATCCACAAATGTACTTTGACATAAATGAGCAACGAGCATCTGTATTAATACTTCAGATCTGGGGACTGTTTGTTATAGCAGTTAGCCTACTCTGATATAAATGCTGTCACCAAGGGCCAAGAACCTCTACCCCATCCTGTCCCCACCTCCTTCTCAAGTGTCCAAGGACCTCTGCCCACCTGGCTGGACGGTAGACCAGGTCTTCCTTTCACTTTTCTTAGTGCCCACAGTCTGTGGGATTGGAGGCAGAGTAGATGGCTTGGCTCTCAGCTTGGACCGCTGCCATGGAACATAATCCTATCAGACATAACACAAATCAGTCACACAGCTCATGGGCTCAAATCCCAGCTGGCCCCCTTACTGATATCTGTAACCTTGACCAAGTGGGTTTACCTCTCTGAGCCTCGATTGTCTCGTCTGTAAACTGGATCAAATCAAAAAACCTATCTCCATAGGTTGATACAAACATTCCAAAAGATATCTGTAAAGCATGTGGTAAGTGCTCCCTAAATGTTATCAAGTTTGCATCAGCCAGCCAGAATTTACTAAGCACATTCAGGCGGGGAGGTGCTAAGAACTGTGAGAAACAGAAGGCATAGAAAAGACCCGATAGGAAAGCAGATATGCAATCAGAGATAAAGGAGAGAGCAGCATAATATACCCTTACCTCCTGATAAGATGGTGAGAAAACTGAGGTTCTGAGGCACGCCCCGGGTCAGCAAGCCCCACCCCCACACAGACGCTAGCCCTCCTGGACTCACCAGAACCTGGAACTGGGGGACTGTGGAGCCGATCCCAGAGTGGCTGCGTCTGCAAAGCGTTGGGGCGGGGGAAAACTCCTATCAGTCCCAACCCGTGGGAATGCAAGCAGCAAGCGTTAAACTGGGATGGGGTCTCGAACCCGAAACCTCTGTCCCTAAGGACACAAGCCTAGCGGGAGCCAGAGAACACGCGAGAGAGGCGGGGCTAGGGAGATAAGGGCGGGGTCAAGAGAGCGGGATGACACCCGGAGGGGACCCAGCCAGCGCTAGGTTGGGGGCTACGCATGCGCAGTCCGCCGCTCCTCCGTACCCCTTTCACGTACTTTGGAAAGTTACGCGCCATTAGGGAGAATGGAAGGAGAGTCCCGAGGCTTGGGGCCCCGATTTTGGGGGATGCCTGTTTCTTCGGCTTCTCGAACTTCCTTGTCTCAGCGTGGATCGCGCGGTAACCAAGGCCACTCAAACTTCCCAGAGAGACCTAATGCTTTCTCGCCTGTCTCGGTCTCCAAGGAAACGGACGCAGACTACCGAGCGCCTAGAGGGACCAATATCGCACTGGAAAAAGTAGCTCTCGCCACATTCCACTCATCGTGGTTTCAAATTCCCTCAGCTGGCCCCGCCTATCATGCTAAAGAATTATGTCATATGGCTCCTCTCAGCAAACCTCCATCACGTCCTTCTCCATCCTTACTCTTGGCTAATTTCTTTGCTTCCTGTTTCACCGGGAAAATCTTGGGACTCTGTAAACTCAGGTTCACATCACCTCATTCACCCACCCACATGCCTCCCTGCTGAGACTGTGTAAACTGCCTGCTGACCTCGATTCCTACTATTGTGCACTGAAGCCTGTCCTCTCTCATTTTCTCTAAGACGTTCCCCCAGGAATTTCCCCCATTTTCTCCATCACCCTCTCCTCTGTATTATTTTCACTGCTTTACCAACGTATTTTAATTTCTTCTGTTAAAAAAAAGCGAACACTTCCCATCCAGCTACCCTCCCATTTCTGCTTCACTTTAAGGCAAAACTTCTAAAGAGGTTTGCCTTCTGTTTCCCATTCCTTTTTGCCTCTTCAATCAGGCTTTCACTCTCCACCTCTCCACCGAAACTGCCACTGTCAGCGCTGCCAGTGAGCTCCGTTTTGCTAAACTTCTCTGTAAGGATCTTCCTTAGCCTATCTGCAGAATTTGACACAGCTGATCACTCCCTCCTTGACACATTTTCTAAACATGGTGTCCTGGAAACCACTCTCCAGCGCTGCTCCCCACCTCCTTTTTTTCTCTTTTCCTGGTTTCTCCTTTTCACCCTTTACTCCCAGGTTGCCCCAGGACTCAGACTCAGCCCTCTCGTTTTTTTCTCTCCATTCGTGCTCCCTTTCAGCTTTGTGACTTCAGATGCGATCTTGACCCAGATGCCTCCTAGACTCACATCTCCAGCTTCTCCATCTTCTTCCAGTCACATACATCCAACTGCCTACTTAGCATCTCCATTTGGGTACCTGAGAGGCAACTAACACTCAATATTTCCCCAGAACCAACTCAAAGTGGCAACTCTCTTCCTGGAGTCTTTTTTTTTGTTGTTGTTTCCACACCCAGGAAGGCCTGTGGCCTGTAATGAGAGTGCAGATCTCTAACCACTGAACTGCCAGGGAATTCCCCTGGAGTCATTCTTAACTCATCTTTTGACTCATCTCTCCTCCCACATCCAAATCAGTCAGCAATACCTTCAATGTAATGTCAAGTCAGACTGCTTACTCCCACCACCACCCATACAAACACCCCACTTTCCCCCTCACTCCAAGACTACAAGTACCAGCTCCCACCCTTACCCCACTCCAGTTCTCTCTCCACACCTCAGATTTGCCAAATAGAGCACAGATTTAAAAGTGCCTTCCTGTTTAAAAAAATAACTTGGAAGGAGCAAATAATTTGAAATCAGTCACATTTCAATAGGGAAATGTTTCCATAGAACACAAGGTTTGGTGATCCAGCAATTAAGAACCTGCCTAGCAATGCAGGAGATGTGGGTTCGCTCCCTAGTCAGGGAACTAAGATCCCACATGCTAAGGAGCAACTAGAGAACCCACAAGCTGCAACTAGAGACGCCTATGTGCAGCAACTACTGAAGCCTGCATGCTCTAGAGCCTGCATAACACAACTAAGGCTCCACGCACCACAACAAAAGATCTTGCATCTTGTAACTAAGACCCAACACAGCCAAAATAAATAAATAAAAGAAATAAAACTCTTTAAAACTATCATTCTATATGTTGAAAAATCTATTTTAAAAAAAGAGAGAGTGAACACTAGGCCAGAGCTCCCAACCTTCCCCCTCTCTTAGAAATCACAGGAAAGTGTTTTAAATAGCACTGCACACTGTGGTCAACAGAAGAGACTGCTATGGCAAAAAGCACATAATATTATAAATTAACTATACTTCAATAAATAATAAAGAAAACATAAATAAATAAAAATAAAGATCTCACTTCCCAACCTCCCTTGTAGCTACATGAGGCCATGTGATTAGGTTTTGGCAAATGTGAGCAGAAGAAACACGTGCAGTTTTTGGTCATGCCCTTAAAGGAAAGGAGACTAGATAAACATGGAGACAGAAGGCATTGGGGTCGCAGAGCTGTCCTACCAGCTGGAGGCTCTAGTATCCACTGATGACTGGCTTTTCCTGGTTAAAGGTGGAATTCTCCTTGGTACTGATGCTGCAATAGGAATGCTAGTTGGATTTGTTACAACATTATTCTTGGCTAAAAGACAAAGTCCTAAATGGCTCAACAAGGCCAGGCATTCTTACTGGAGAGTAAGTATTCCCTTACCTTTCGAGACCTGGGGTGGGGCTCACCTTATGCATGGTGTGGGGTTGCTGTGATCAGCTTCACATCTGGAAAACTTTGGGAGTTCACAATGCATTGTACCAGACATTTAGACATAGCAGATTATTTAATCTTCACAATAACTTTGAAGCAGATGAAAGACTTTCGAAGTAAAATGCAATCAATATTTCCAGCAATTCCCGGGAATTCTTTTTTTTTTTTTAATTTTTGTCAGCAGTGGGTGTTAGGGTCTTAATTACAGCACACAGGATATTTAGTTGCAGCATGTGGGATCTAGTTCCCTGACCTGGGATGGAATCCGGGCCCCCTGCATTGGGAGCGCAGAGTTTTAGCCATTGGACCACTAGGGAAGTCCCTCTGAAGAACTCTTGGATTGACTGGTGAGTGGGAGGAAGCATTGAAACGCGGATGAGATGAGCATGGTGGATAAAGTCCAGAACAACTGTTATGGGAAGGGCTGTCTTAGCCGAGGGACTCCATTGATTTCTCCTCAGGAACACATGCAGATTGCTGACTGACCTGTGGGGTAGATGGCATTCAGTGTCCTCACAAGAGGCCGACAGTCACTTCCGTGTGTTGTACCTTACAGCTGATTTGGTTATGCGCGCGCATTATGGTTAAGTGTGTGTGTGTGTGTGTGTGTTGGAGGGAGGGCAAAGTCTTCCCAAAGCTAGGAAGACTGTTTAAAAATAATTATATGGATAACTTCTCTATGTGGAAAAAATCCCAGGGGAAATACTTTTAGGACTATACCTGTTGAAACCAAGTTTCTTACCTGAAAAAATTTATACTAACCTATAATGGAAAGTCTTCAGAAACAGACTCCAAACAGCAGTAGTAACTCAATGTGTCTAACTAAATAAATTTTAACAGCCTTTCTTGTCAGTATGTGGCTTTGGAGCTTATGTAAGTTGATGGGGGCACAAATTTTGACAATCGAAAAACAGCACTATGTTAAACAACATGGAACTTAACATTATTTTTCATACAAAGTTAAAAGCACATTGTATTTCCTTCCTGACCACTTTCCCACTTGCTTCCAGAGAGATAAGCTTCGTCTGAATTATTACATCTGATTGATGATTGTCATTATCATTTATAACTTTATTGCTACTCCTGTCAGGCACTTCTTTGGGAAAGGAGTATGGATTCATTCCATATTCTATAGATTATAAGATAAAGTTAAGCATGTGTCTGCTGATACTTTTTAAGATGACTTGTTTTTGTTTTTGTTTTTTTTTGACCTGTGTTTATACTTCAGTTCAGTCACTCAGTCGTGTCCGACTCTTTGAGATCCCATGGACTGCAGCACTCCTGGCCTCCTTGTGTTTATACTTATAAGTGTCTCTTAACAGTAGGCTTCCCTGGTGGTTCAGATGGTAAAGAATCTGTCTGCAATGCAGGAAACCCGTGTTCAGTGCCCCGGTTGGGAAGATCCCCTAGAGAAGGAAATGGCAACCCACTCCAGTATTCTTGCCTGGAGAATTCCATGGACAGAGGAACCTGGCAGGGTACAGTCCATGGAATCACAAAGAGTTGGACACAACTAAGCGACTATTACTCACTCTAACTACTACAAGCTTTGTGACATTGGGCAATTCACTTCCGTGACTGAGCCTAGTTTCCTCATCTGTGCAGTAATTCTAAGTCACAGATTTTTTTTCTCTCTTGTTCTCCAAAACCTGCTTCTTTTTTCAAAGGCTATCTCAAATCACGCCTCCCCCACAGTCTCCTAACTAGCCTTTTAATAGTGTAAATTCCAAAACTCTGTCCGTTAAAATCCAGACTGAGAAAAAAAAAATGCAGACTGAGATGCCAAACTTACCAATTCTAATAACCCTCTCTGGCAATAATCTGCCAGGAATGAGTAAAGGCTGCCCTCTTCAGATGGCCTTGGTGCCCATCTGGACTGCTTCGCTCACAGGATACCTGCCTGGCCCCACAGCTTCTGGTTCAGCCATCTCTATAATCTTCTGCCATCTCTGACTGGTTGGTCTACAGTCAGACCAAGCTGACTGCTGAAGCAGTGCTGAGGGAAATGGTTGACAATTTTTTAATAAATTCAGTGAGAAATCAATATAAATGTTTAGTCTTTTATCCAATTCACAGTGCTGATAGTGATCATCAAGAAAAATACTAAAAATGACCAGAAGAGAATAGAGAAAACTTGGATCTGCAAAAGTTGACGATGCATTGATGGAAAGAATGGCCATACCCATACCAACAAAATCTTATGACAGAAGAAGATATGGTTAGTAAAACTGAGAAGTAGCGAGACCCCAGTCCACAGATCAAATCTTTTCAAAATACAAACAGATCTCTTAGTAGTCAGAAACAAAACAAAAATGCCCAATATATGTTGATTCCATGAGGGATCCTGTCTAGTACAGTAAAACAAGAAAAAGTGTTAAGATCTGAACAGAAAGATGTTCATTATTTACAAACAATATGACTGTCAACAAAGAAAAGGAAATTGATTCTAAAAGCCACTGGAAACCTTA